GATGTGTGTGTGTGTGTGTGTGTGTGTGTGTGTGTGTGTGTGTGTGTGTGTGTGTGTGTGTGTGTGTGTGTGTGTGTGTGTGTGTGTGTGTGTGTGTGTGTGTGTGTGCGTGCGAGAGAGAGAGTGAGAGAATTGAGAATTTACTGGATAGACAGGCACACTTGTCTCTCAACGTGAACTGACAACACTTACTAGTAATCATTTGATTAAAATGTGAAAAATGACACCTCTGTTAAAGATTAAGTTTAACAGGACTATTTTGATAATGATATAGTTTTTCCCCTGACAATGAGGAGAGCTTACAATGAGGAGAGTGTATATCTCGACTTCAGGTTAAACACAAACATATCTATTACCTTGCCATACAGGTGGTTCTGTGCCAATAAATCTATATGGACCAATAAGGATTTTTTATATGAGTCTTTGATTTGCTTAAAAGTTAAGTATTTTGTATATGTGGTATCATGACACTGTAGTGATTGTCCTAGGTAGACCTTGGCTCGTTAGCGTGGACTGGTAAACAAGCGTCCCTTGTTTGATCCCTAGTTGAGTCTGGTATCGGTATTTTACCCTCCCAAACTGTACAACGCCATTGTAAGTTCAGCATATTTGACTGTATTTATTAAAATGTATCTTTATACATATGTACATATTTAGTTTGTGTTGAGTAAATTTTCAACTTTTCATTTTCTAAATCTAATCCAACTTTTTGAAAGCATACCTGTGAAAGCTTGATTAAAATTTACTGAACATGATTGACTACACATTACTTTCAACAGTATTTTAGACAACTTCTATATCAGGATAAAGTCTTGGATAAAGTCTTTGTAAAATTACTCGACAAAAATATAATTTTTAACAAACACACTACAAATAAACGCTTTCAATCAGCACATCGTGTTGGGTTTTATCCGAGACTGACTGTGTGACATGGTTTTCTGCGACGGTTTATTGAAAGTGGGTCACCGTAAACAAGACTGTTTTCTTTATCAAAGTAAAGAAGAAATGAATAACAATAGTGTCGAAAACGGCAGCCTTTAATGACCTTTAGTAACTCACCTCTTCTGATCGGAAAAACCCGAGTTTTTTCCACAAAAAGTCCAGATTGACTAGTTGATGCGCTCTCAATTTTTTATTCCAATCGAGAATGAGAGTTTGGTTACTATTGGATAATTTACAACGAGGGCAGCCAAGATAACACACATCCCAATATTAAAAAGACTTTTTGCCGTTTTTCTTAAAGGAAATGTCATAATAATCAACATTAAAATATTATTTAAAGCAAAAAATAAATTAGAAAGTTAAAAAATGCAATAAATTATATAGATGATGCAACTTTAATACACTTATATCAGCATCCCCTTGAAAACTAAACCAATCAGAGACTGTGAGACAAATCATATAACAAAATGGCGCTGTCGGGATCCCGAGCATGGAGCGTAGGGTCGCGAATGTCTAGCTATCAACTCGCTAGTTTGGTCACAAAGTTAAATATATCGCCGGTGAAACGAATAGAATTTTCTTTTGATCCATTTGGAACGAATGTTAGATCATGCAGGTGAGGTAATTAATTGGTATGTCTATGTTTGCGGTTACCTTTACCCCCCCCCCCCACGGTCCACGGATTCCACTTCAAACTTGCCAACAGAGTCAATGTGCCGTTTTGATCGCGTCTAAGACACTTATATCCAAATTTATTTAAAATTCTTATGTCTCTTTTCTTTTGTTTTTAGAGATGCACTGTTCCATCTGTACAGCAACAACGTGAGAGTTACCAATGTTAACTGCATCCTGAAAGTGAATGTGAAATCGGACAGGTCCGATCCCAATATGAATGTCATATTTAGTAAGTATAATAATAATAATAATAATAATAATAATAATTTCGATAATAATTCATTCAGTGTTATAACTGAAAGGCTGAAGCTTTACTTTATACTCACTTATGTATACTTAAAGTGATAGTAACTCTTCGTTTTGGCCAAAAAATGAATTTTCCTGGAGTAAACAACAATTTTCCCATACTTACCAATGGTTAATGAATCCATTTTTACATTCAAAGTTAGTCCCTGTTTTTTTTTCTAAAAAGTTTGGTTTTTGTTAAAATCTCTTAAGAGATTTTAGAAGAGTATAGCTATCAATGGACGTCACGTGGTCTAAAGACAAGCTCAGATATCAGAATAATAGTTATAACTGCCGTTTTTGTGGTAAAAGAGAATATATTATATTTCTATGAGTTATTCACAATGTTTTTATTGGGAAATATAGATCTCATACGAAGAGTTATTATCCCTTTAAATTATTTGAACTTTAAAGTATAAATTTCACAAGTATATCAGGCAACAGTTTTATGAAAATGAAGAGAAAAATTCTGAAAACTGAAATTTGAATTTTAAGACAAGACTTGAAGCCTACTTTGGCACAATATAAATCATTGGTTTAATGAAATGGTACATGACAGATATGCTGTTGTTTCAGATGATGGACTAAAGGTGCTATTCAAGACGAATAATTTGACCACACTGGAATTACTGAGGACATTTGATAACATGTGTAGAGAGAGAATAATAGAAACAGATAAAGATGAAGCTGCTCCAAAGGAAGAGGCACCCAAAAGCAAGTCCAAGAAAAAGAAACGATGATGGTGTAAAGTCACTGATGGACTTCAATTCTCTTTAAGACGTGATTGACAGAAATCAGCCCGTGACTTAGCATAAAATCAATTAAGATTTCAGGCCCCAGTTTCACAAAAAAACTCAGTTGGTGATAATTTGTTAAACTGATTGCATTCAGCAAGAGTCTCCTTTGAGTTGGATTGATATATGTAAGACATAAGTTTAATTGGGAATGAGATCTAATGATTTCTGATGGTTTCCACGCTATTAGACAGTAGAAAATATTACATTTTGTTGTCATATGTTATGCATTTTTTCCAGAAGTCTGGAATGTTAATACTGATCCATGCCATATGCCAAGAAAATTCTCTAATTTATTTGTTCAGTTACAAGCCATTGTTTGTTATTTTTATTCTAATAATTTGGACCAGTATTTCCTTAGGCTGTATTCCCAGAGCTTTTAGATCGATCTATCCCCACGGGGAGTCTCGCTAATACTGTCAGATAATCCGGCTTAAATGTCCGTCCCGCCTGCTACAAGCTGTAAGGGGGTAATTAACTTTCGTGTCCGCCCGGCTGATAGCTATTTAGCGTGAACCCCCAGGGAGTTAAGTCAATCTAAAGTAGATCGATCTAATCTCTGGAAATGGGGGTCCTAGATTGATGTCCCAAAGGGTTAGGAGCCAAAAACGATTTCAAAATTTAAGTACAGACTTCGACACAATACTTTAGTTTTTTTCGCTTAATAAAATTGAAAGTATGACTTTATGTGATTCCAGTTTTATATGTCATCTTACAAAGCTAAAACTGAAAGCAATAATTTAAATGAAACTGCTTTTATAAGTTTAAGGTATATTTATGTATTCAAATATACAAGTGTTTGACATATGAAGCGCTCGCGTAAAGAAAGTTTTTGCTCATCTCGGCATCTTTTCCATAATTGTGACTCGATCAAATTTATTTATGATTATTTAAGATGTATATAAAAAGCAAGTAAATATCCTGTAACTTCTACGAATTACAAGCACCCATCTCTTACACAATACAAAATCCAAAGGCCAATAAACCAACCGCAGAAATCTACCTGGCAGAAAAAAAGGCTTAAATGGATAACAACTCATGGTATGAGATCTATTTTTCACATTGAATACATTGTAAACAACCCATAGAAACAGAGTATATTCTATTTTACCACAAAAAACGGCCGTTATAGCAATTGATCTAAAATCTGTGGTTGTCATTGGACCACGTGACCTCCATAGATGGCTATACTCTGTAATAATCTCTTAAGATATTATTACAAAAAACAAACTTTTTAGAAAAAAACAGGGACTAACTCTGAATGTAGAAATGGATTATTTAACCATTGGTTGATAAGGGAAATTTCATTTTTTGGCCAACATGCATTGTTATTATCCTTTTAAGATCTGCTCTTTCAAACTCCTGGCTACACACACACACACGTACAAAAAAAAAAAAAAAAAAAAAAAGACGTTCCCTGGCTGACAATTTAATTACCAACGTTACATGAGTACATCTTACCCTATCAGGAGCAGTGGCGGATTTAGGGGGTGTCAGGGGACCCTGTAACAGCACTCTCATAGAAATCCTTGTCAACTAAGCCTTGTGTGGTGTGTGTGTGTGTGAAACTGGTCTAAAATTTTACCTGCTTAATTTGCCTCCAATCAGTAAAACACAAAGTACACAGAAAAAAAAATCTGTACAACTATCATTTTTCGGCAAATAACATAACTACATTTTGCAGTGTCTTTATATACGTACAAATTATTGAAATGGGCATTTGAAATACTGTGCTGACATTTGCTTGAACTTTGGACGAATAAAACTTTATATATAAATAAAACAATAATTTGACTTGGGTTGATATGCATCTTTCACGTAGATATAAAAAATTGTGAATTTTTCCATTTGCGTCGGGATAAAAAAAGGTAATTTTTCCCCATCAAAGAGAAATTTCGAAATAACACAGGGCGTCATTTTTGCTGGAAAATCCCAGAATCACGTATCGAATACCTGAACGGCAGGGGTTATTTCTTGACACTGAGAAAAACTAGCTTGCTTTATTTAAGTCCTGTGGCGTAATCAGAGTACAAACACTTTTTTCTGACCAAGCGTTAAAATATACAGACAGTCTCGTTTTGTATTCATAAATGCAACANGATCACGTTTTGTATTCATAAATGCAACACGTTGTTCGGATCACAGTAGCGAGCCTACGAGTTGACATAACAGATAACGCTGCGGTAATCTATGTGTGCACAAGCGTTTTTTCCTGATTGTGGAAGCTATTTAAAATTGTTATCGTGCTATGCGTTTTGTTTATTCACAAGGAACTTTTCAAGGTCACAGATAGGACTGAGTACCAGGAGTGTAAGACTTTTAGTTGAATCAGCATAGCAGATAGTATGCATGTAGGCCTTATGGTGTAAATCGAAACGGTTTCGGTGTTTAGCAATAAATATGAGTAAGATTTCACAAATAACTGTCGCACAACACCAAGAAGACCGCCCACCCACGGGATCCACCAGACAGCATCGCTCAAAAAGAGAACTCCAAGTCCATCGACATCTTAGAAGACAAAAACAACCGCAGCTGGAACGCGTGGTTTCCAGAAGAACGGGAATAGAGTTGGGATTTTATCAGCAGGATGATGAGGTGGATTTCGTTACGTCTCCAAGTTGTCTTGTCTGGGTTTATGATTTCTTCACTTCGCGCAAAGTTTGGGGTTTCAAGCGAAATAATCAGGTGAGACATAAGGGTTTTTTGTCAACTTTATATCTTCTAGCAGATCCAGGAATTTGTTTTTTTTAAGGGGTGGGGGTAGGAAAAATGTCTCCCATTGCTCGACAGATGGAAAACAATGGAAAACAATTAAGAGACTAGGACTGGGTTCCCATACCTAGAACGATCTATTTGGATCGATCCATCTCCGAGGGATTTCTGGCCATATTGCATTCAGTTTAAGCGGCTTACGTGCTAAACGATAATTAATTCCCCCCTAGCAGCTTCAGCAGGCGTGACTGACATCTAAGCCGCTTAAGATGATTGCAATTAAGTGAGAATCCCCTCGGAGATAGATCGATCCGCAGTTAGTGCGGTAGGGTCTGGGAACAGTCCCAAAGACGATTTTATTATTTATAAGGCACAGGGATGGAAAATTGCTTCGTCTGTCCAGTTTTTCTCGTATTATTATTATTATTATTATTATTATTATTATTATATTGGTATACAGGTGTTAGCTTTTCAACCTAATTGGCTGTGTCATAAGTAACAAAAAAGTCACCTGGTGTTTCCATAAGAATTCCCGTGTTTCTCGATATAGTCTTGGTTGGAAATTCCCTTTCGTCATGGAAGTCCACGTCTTTATTACTTACTTACACTAATATATCTTTATTGATCACTAAAGCGTTTTACAGGTACGTTTTACAGGATCTGTTCATGCGTATTTCACTGAAACCTGGGTACACGCATGTACTATATTTAACTCACGGGACGCGTCACGAGCTTGTATTGTTCAATCTAGATAAGGTCTATGAGTGCAATAAAAAAAACTCTAAGAACAAAAGAGGATACGCGATATATAATAAGTGTATGCTCAACAAAGAAAGAAAGGGTTGGAGTGGTGTAACGGAAGTATCCTGAGTGCTATGTGAGGATTGACACTTAGGGCTGTATTCCCAGAGCTTTTAGATCGATCTATCCCCGCGGGGAGTCTCACTAGATTACTGTCAGATAATCCGGCTTAAATGTCCGTCCCGCCTACTACAAGCTGTAAGGGGGTAATTAACTTTCGTGTCCGCTCGGCTGACAGCTATTTAGCGTGAACCCCCAGGGAGTTAGGTCGATCTAAAGTAGATCGATCTAATCTCTGGAAATGGTGTCTGAGAGAGTGTGTGAAAAAATCATTTGGAAACTTTGTCCCGTGTGAGATGAATCAGGCACGTACCTTTTGTACAGGTGTAAAGGGGAATTCCGCTGTGCTATAAATAGAACCAAGCACGTGCTTTGGGGAGTCGATTACAATAATAAACAGGGTGTTGTCGTTTGCTATAATTGGCAATCGAGCCAGAGCGCCTGGGAAATTCAGTGCTTACATGTCACGAGATATCTAATTACAAGTGTTTTCCCCATATTGGAAAAAATTCCCAGTTTCAGAATTTTAGAACGGTTGAAGCATATTAACGAAAATACAAGGGAGGCGAGTCGCTTCCTAAGCTGTCAAAATATAGATTCTAAGGGTGCATTCCCAGAGATTTAGATCGATCCAGAGATTCAGATTTAGATCGACCTAACTCCCTGGGGGTTCACGCTAATTTTGCAGTCAGCCGAGCGCGCACCATAGTTAATTATCCCCTTACAGCTTTTAGTAGGCGGGACACACGCTTTTAAAAGCCGGCTAAGCTGACAGTAATCTAGTGGGACTCCCCACAGGGATAGATCGATCTAAAATTTAAGGGAATGGGGTCTAAGACCCTATTTCCACATACACCATCGGGCTACATATATCAGCCAAACTCTGCGGGGATTATCGCTAAGTGTAATCAGAGGAATTCGCTTTATTGTCTGACACCCCTCCTTGAGCAGCTAGAGTAATTGTTGTTAATTACCCTCTATAGCTACTCAAGGAGGTGCGTCATGCAGTTAAGCTGATTGCACCTAACTAGAGCCCCCGAAGACCAACCCACGTAGTCCAGTGTTTATATGTATGACCCCATTCCCATAGACACCATTCCCAGAGATAAGATCGATCCGATTAGATCGACCTAACTCCCTGAGGGTTCACGCTAAATAGCTGTCAGCCGAGTGGGTACGAAAGTTAATTACCCCCTTACAGCTTGTAGTAGGCGGGACGGGCATTTAAGCCGGATTATCTGACAGTAATCTAGTAAGACTCCTCACGGGGATAGATCGATCTAAAATTTATGAGAATGCACCCATAGACACCATCGGTCTACGTGGATCGATCCAACTCCGACCCAGCTTAACTGAATGACACGCCTCCTTCCGACGTTGAGTAAAATGCAGAAAAGCTGGTGATGCAGGTGCGTTGGAAACAAGAGGAGGGGTGTTACTCAGGTAAGCTGATTGCAGTCATCGAGAGTTCCTGCAGATGGAGTTGGGTCGATCCACGTAGACCGATTGTGTCATTGGAAATGAGGTCTATGGGAATATTTCCTAAGATAAGCTTGACCAAGGAAGTGTATCTATGTAATTTCCTTGGCTTGACCAAGGGCAGTAGCGAGCGGAAGAAGTGACACCCCCGCTCACCAAGCGACGTTGGCTAACAAGGAAGTTTACTTCGCCACTTCGTGGGGGGTGGGGGTGGGGTGGCAGGGAGGACCGCCCTGCCAACAGTATTCAGCGATTATAAACCTGGTTTGGTAACGTCCTTCGGGTCCTAGTCAAATCACTCCCCAGTTGATAAAAGTAGTTTTCTTCCACGTCAACATTGTTTAAAATCACATGCGGCGGGGGCTGGCTTTACAAAAGTTCTAAAAGACCGAATGATCTTGGGCTTGATGCGGTACCGGCCAAAGTCGTTTAAAGGGACTTAAGCAGTACTCTGCATAAAAAATCTTGTTTCTTTTTTAACTTTATTAATATATTATTGGTTTTACGCATTAAACGTATAAAATTCTAGATTTTAATCGCCCATGTGACCTTGGACTCTAGCTTGAGTTGTTTGTCTGCAGCACTCTTGTTTATGTTTTCTGGATTATTAAGCGTGCACGCGTACGAGCACAGTAGAGACATTTAATTTTGAAAAAAAAAGAAGGTGCGGTGTACTCGAAGCTGGAAATACCTAGGACTCATGTGACTGGGAAAACCAGAGTGACATAGCCTACCCAGCAATTTAATGTGCGCCACGCTCACCTTTGGTGGTTATATAGTAAATGGGACGTCGGTGACTCACACCTTTTCATTGACAATAGAACCGATATAGGAGAGTCCATCGACGCTTTCTTCATAAACTGATAAGACTGTGTGTGTGTGCACTGTGAAACTGCATGGTTAATAAGGAAGTTCAATCGCATCTCTTCCTGAATTTCCAAGGGTTCATTTAAGACAGTCGACATTGCCACGCTGCTCTCATTGTAAACCTGGTGGGGTAACATACCAGTCGTGCCAGCTTGTACGCGGTGTGCGTGACTATTTTCCCGTGGTATCACTTTGGATCGAGTTTCTTTTGTTATTATTTCTTAGTACGTTTGTACCACCGAAGGCTTTGTGGAGTGTATTCTTCTAAAGGAAAAAGGCATTGGGGATAAAATAAAATGTCCCAATCTGCGTCTCGCAATCAAAATCGTCCAGGGAGAGGAGTAGCCCCACTTAGTCAACGACAGGGTCAGGCGCGAGGCACAAACAACCGGCAAATCAAGCGACATCTGCGGCGTCAGCCTCAACCGCCACAGTTGGAGCGAGCGCTGTCCGAACCGACGCGCCGTGAGTGGCTAGCCAGCCGGAATGTGCACTTAGAGGAGACAGACGCAGCGCTCCCCGCTTCTTGTTTGGCGAGATTGTTTGGAGGTTTATGTTGCGGAGGGAGGGGGAGACAGCCAGCTGGTGGTGATAAGGTAAAGGGGGAAACTGATCGGAAGAAAAAGGGGATTGGCCTTGTCAAGTTCCCCTGAGTATCAGAGGTCTCTAAAAACTCTTATATCTATCTATTATCAGCAAGCCTCTGCCGTTCACTGTAAGGATCACAGTCGACCCTCACAGGTTGATTTTTCATTAGATATTCACGTATAAATGCACGGTTATTCTCTGTACTGCCTCAGCGAAAATGTTCGCATAATAATAACTGCCACCCTGGTGGCGGGTGCTTGTAAGGGGTCATCCATTTTTATCACCATTGTCACAAGTCTACAACCCGTGCGCTGGGAGGTGGGGGGGGGGGGGGTAAATGCATTTCTGAATGGGGGAGAGGGTGCGAGAAAACGCTTCTCTTTGTAGACTTGTTGATAAAAAAAATGACGTTGATAAAAATGGATGGCCCCGAACGTCCTACTAAGTACTACATAGTAGCCCTGCTGCTACTGGACACGGTACACATAAAGCCACCCTCTACCAGGGCCACAGATTGATTTTTCACAAGATATTCACAGAAATGTCCTTAGATACATAGGCCCTACATAGACGGTCATTTGGTTCTATGTCAATTGTGCCTATTATAGAGGGTGCACATGAGTATATACATATAGTACAGGATGAGTTTTCATGGAACTCTAAAAACTCTTTGCAAGAGGGTCACTGCCACTGTGTAACAGGTGCTTTTAAAAATGGTACGTGGTAATTTAATGGGCTAATTTTGTTTTCGCCCCCCCTTCCATCCCCTCAGCTTAGAACTTTGTAGTAATTATTGCGCATATATCTCATTTACATCAGCTACGCACAGACTTGCTCTGTTAAAACAATGTACGTAAGTTCCCGTAAATTATCTTTCCAGTTGGACTTTCACCAAGAAGCTAGAGTCCACCTGGTGGACGCCGCGGACACTAATCACGGCGCTCTCCTCATCAAGAGCTACAGAAAGGCGGGTGAGGCCACCTGGTATCACTTCGTACGGCGCTCCTCGGGGACGAAGGGCACCCTGGCAAAGAAATTGAAATTGAAGTAGGTCTTTTTTATCAAGCAAGGTTCATCAAGAGACGAAAGAGATTAACAGTTTCTGTTTGTTCTACAGTGTTACTCTAAACTATTTGAACAGTAGTATGTGATAGTACGATAACAGCGCTCAAAGGGATGTTTTCTCGATAATGAGAGTAAACGCAATAATTGGAAAGTAGGCTACCTGCCGTTTTCATTTCTTGTTCTTCACAGTTTAAGTTCCATTATCTCAAACCATTTAATTTCTTGTTTACCCCCATAGTTTCTATTAGAGTTTGTTTAATTTGTTGTGTTTTTTATTTCAGAAAATACGACCAAATTTTGGCAATCGATTTCGACTTCACGTCGACTATGACACATGAAGAAGTCATCGACCGCTTGCGGGACTTGATGAAAAAAGAAGAAGTTATACTGGCAAGTAGTCCTTTACCCCCTTTTTAAAAAAGATAAGGTGCAGATTTTCTCTCAGAAATATCAGCTATTTTTGTAGCAGATAGGTACACAGTATACTCATAAGAGCTCATTCCCATTGAAACTATGAGTCTAGTAGAATTGCACTCAGAGAGAGTCCCCGCGGAGTTGGGCCGATCTACATAGACCGAATTTTTCAATGGGAATGAACCCTTAGATATACCAACCAGAGATGCTCAAAGATCAATTGTTGTTTTTTGTTCAAACTTCCAGTGCACCCGCCGTATGCTTAACTACAGAAAAGGGCAGATGTACAGAAAAATCACAGTGGAGATGACAGAATCTGGAACTGCGCGTAAGCATGCATTGTTGATGAATAAGACTGGGTTCTCATAAACCTATCTTACTAGCAGGATCGTTCTAACTCCGAGGGGATTCTCGCTAAACTGCATTCAGTTAAAGCTGCTTAAATGTCTGTCACGCCCACTAAAGCTGCTGATGGGGGGGGGGGGGGGTTGATTAACTTTCGTTTACGCTGAAACCAAATGCAAGTTAGCGAGAAACCCCTCGGCAATAGAGCGATCCTGCTCAGTAAGATAGGGTTATGGGAATGGTCCCTAAAATCAAGTTGCAGTCAAGCGTTTTGACGATGATTTGTTCGTTGTCCAATTTGTTCATTTATAAAACACTTTAATAAACCATTTCTTTATTAAATTTGAAAGAGTTTATTTAGTTCGTATATTTCGTATATTTATTTTGTAAAAGCGTTGTTTTAAATTTAAGATGCACATTGTGTGGCATTTATTTGATTCTAATTATCCAGGGGAAATCTAGGATTTTACATGTATTTATTTATTTATTTTTTGTTTCTTAAATCTTCAGGTGAAAACGAGCAAGAAAGACGTAGTAAGACGCCGAGGAGCACGTTGCTCCCCAAGGTAACGATAGAAATAGTACGTGGAAGCATCTGTACTCCTGACGGTATATGTATCGACGATATCCGTCAACAGGGGAAGAGAAAGGCCAAAATCCAGTGTACTGCAACTGACGACTACATGGAGAAATACAAAAAAGATATTCGTGTCAGTCCGTTAAAATGCGGAGATGAGTCGTGTGAGTGAGTCTGCCTCTCTTTCTCTCTCTCTCTCTCAATTACACACACACTTCTTAGACCCCATTCCCAGAGATTAGATCGATCTACTTTAGATCGACCTAACTCCCTGGGGGTTCACGCTAAATAGCTGTCAGCCGAGCGGGCACGGAAGTTAATTACCCCCGTTACAGCTTGCAGTAGGCGGGACGGACATTTAAGCCGGATTATCTGACAGTAATCCAGTGAGACTCCCCGCGGGGATAGATCGATCTAAAAGCTCTGGGAATACGCCCTAACTCTTTTACACACACACGCACACACACACACACACTCACTCACACACACACTCACACATACACAAACACACACACTCTGGACAGTCCAAGTTCGTTGATGAATTAACAATGCCCATGCATTTGAATGCTCTTGATAAACTCCCGTTACTTTTATGATGATATCAAATATAACATTTAATTCTTTCAGACGACTTCGACGTCCACCAGTACTCCGGAATTACCAAAGAAAGGACCGTGTCCCTTTGCTATATGTTTCAAAAAGACCAAATAGTCACGGTGGACGAAAATGAACAGACCGTCGGTTTTAAGGATTTTGTAAGTTTAAATCCCAAACAGAAGTTTTGGGAAGATGAGAAGCGTTCATCATGGCTTCGATAAAATAATTAAAAAAAAAAAAGAATTAAGAAACCAAGAAAAAGGTAAGTCAATTTAAAAAGATGAAGCAAACAAAACGAAAAGAAGTAAAAGAGAAATGTAAAAGTGGCCAGCTCAGCAGAAGGTCACTTCGCTCTGTCACTGCTGTACCGTCTTAATTCCATTGTCACCTAGCCATGTAATTTTTGGTCACATGTCACCAAAAGTCATATTTGATTTTTAAACAAAAAAACCAACAAACAAATAAATAAATAAATAAATAAATAAATAAATAAATAAATACTTTATTGTAGGAGGACAAATCCAAGTGCGACCTGGAGAACCTGGATCTTCGTGAAGCAAAACCATGGCTGTTTCTGACCAGGAGGGTTCGTGATCGCATTCGTACATTTGAGTCCTTGAAATACCCAGGTATATAATAATAATAATAATAATAATAATAATAATAATAATAATAATAATGATGATGGGGAAATATAAACAGTAGATGAGGACAATTTTCAGTAATATGTAAGGCACAGGAAAGGAAATTGCCTGGTTTGGTCTCGTTTTGTTCAGTATAGGCCTACTGTTTCGTTATTTTACGTTGCTCTTTCACCACTTTCTAAAATTCTTGTATGTTTGGTACTTTTAGGCAGGTATGTCGCTTGCGTGAAGGCAAACGGTGTGTTTGACATCCTCCTTGTTGAAAAAAACGCAGAAAATCAACCCAACATAGAATTCCAACAGTTCGGCACTGATATTTGTCAACTAGACGTAAAATCAGATTCGGGGAGATCGTCTGCTTCGTTGTCGTCATCATCCGGTTCCTCCGAGTCGTCTGCGAGTCAAGCGCCATTTTCCAGCACCCAAGCGACGGACGACTTGAACGTGACAGAGAGTTCCAACGAAGTCGGGCGCAGAAATGAATCAGCAGCTGCCGCGCAGACGACCGAAATGGGGCTGCCCCGAGAAAGCGTTACCGCCAAAGTGAAGAAATGGCGCGCAAACAACTGTCCTTATGCGAGAAGTTTACTTTGGATGGAGACCAGCCTCTGAGGACTAAAGGGAGGGGATTTTAGTGATCACTTGTTATATATACGCTATACGATACACCCATCAATAGTAATAGTCGTTTTATTCTGTGCTACTTCCCAGTAGGCCAAATCATTCTATATGTATTTGTATAGATTTGTATAGTTGTAATAAAACTAAGTTGTTATGATTAGAGTAGAGAGCCTGTAAAATGTAACTTGTACATATTTTAGTGCTTAATAAAGATTACTGTTATTATTTCTGTAAAAAAGTTATCCACTTAATTGTTTACCCTTGTCAACAATGAACGTGTGGTATTCCTTATCCGATGTGTTTAGATTTCTAACGTTTTATCTCGACTCGTTCGTGACACTCCGTCCATATCAAATGTTTTAGCCCCAACAGATCTATCAGCCAGGCAAAATTGATATTAAAGTTCGTGAACAAGCGGCGACTCTATGCAAACAGGGTCGGTTGACGATATTTTTCAAACATACGTACACTGCTTAACGAGAAGTGAGATGCCCCCCCCCCCCCCCCCAGTTTTATTTTAGGAGGAAAAAATGTCGGATCCATAGTGTCTGCGAGAGCAGAAAAAACAAAAAATTAAAATTTGAAAAAGCTGACAAAAAAGAAATTGAAAATTTTAATCGGTTGCACTCATTAACCAACTTATCAATTTTGTCTGGCCTTACTGCAATGTGTGTTGGATTATATTCCCAGCATATGGTTCACTTTTGTTGCAAGGATTGTATAGAAAAGGTAGTCCGTGTACTTTTTAGAATGCGTCATTTATCTATTTCGTGACGAGTTATTATTTTTTGTGAAAAGTTACTCACTTGTTAGCCCTTGTAAACGGGAAGGTTGCACATCCAGTTAGTTGAGCCTTTTTATTTATTATTATTTTATGACTCAGCAAAGTGCAAAGAAAAAGTGAAAATTGTTTCTAGTTATAATTGTTTCCAGTATTTTTGCTTTGTTGTTACTTCTTTTATATTTTTGTTTAAGAAGTACTCATTATTTATACAGTACCATATAAAAATTTTAGATTTTTAACGTTTTATCGCGACTCGTTCGTGACACCCCGTCCATATCAAATGTTTTAGCCCCAACAGATCTATCAGCCAGGCAAAATTGATATTAAAGTTCGTGAACAAGCGGCGACTCTATGCAAACAGGGTCGGTTGACGATATTTTTCAAACATACGTACACTGCTTAACGAGAAGTGAGATGCCCCCCCACCCCGTTTTATTCTAGGAGGAAAAAATGTCGGATCCATAGTGTCTGCGAGAGCAGAAAAAACAAAAAATTAAAATTTGAAAAAGCTGACAAAAAAGAAATTGAAAATTTTAATCGGTTGCACTCATCAGTTATCAGTTTTGCCTAGCCTTACTGCAATGTGTGTTGGATTATATCAGCATATAGTTCACTTTTGTTGCAAGGATTGTATAGAAAAGGTAGTCCGTGTATTTTTAGAATGCGTCATTTATCTATTTCGTGACGAGTTATTATTTTTTGTGAAAAGTTACTCACTTGTTAGCCCTTGTAAACGGGAAGGTTGCACATCCAGTTAGTTGAGCCTTTTTATTTATTATTATTTTATGACTCAGCAAAGTGCAAAGAAAAAGTGAAAATTGTTTCTAGTTATAATTGTTTCCAGTATTTTTGCTTTGTTGTTGTTACTCCTTTTATATTTTTGTTTAAGAAGTACTCATTATTTATACAGTACCATATAAAAATGCACACTAGTCAACAGTATGCATTTGAGGACAAGTGAGCCATTAAAAATGAAAGTGAATATTTGAGTCATGTCAGATGCAGACTTTTTGTGTAATATTTCCAGACCTATTTTACATCTCTTTCTGATTACTGCTGAATTCTTTCCATATTAGATGCTACAGCAGTTTAAAGCAATAATTACGGCACAAGTCAGAATTATGGAAACATAAGACAATATTTATGTATCAGTGACTTGACTCAAAACGCTAGCTTTTCCTTTCTTTTTTATTTTCCTTCTTTTTTTTTAATGACCCATGTACTTTGGATGGAGAAAAAAAATTCCAAATGCCTGCCACAGTATTGTAACTTCAATAATGCATTTATCACCACCTTTGCTAGAAAAGACTTTTTCTCAGGTGAGAAACTTCTTAACTGTAACTAGGGCATTTTTTAACCCAATAAGTATTGCATTTTCTTATGAAATGTCAGGCATCCGACTGACAATAAAAAAATTAAATATACACAGAGAAAAAACTATGTATCCTCCCCCTACCACTCCAAAGTAGGGGTAGCTTAATTTGTTTACTTTTAAAAACCTGCCTATGGGCATTTCTTATGTAAATAAACATATACCTTGTTAAAACTATGACAGAAGCATGTTCAAATTCATAGATATAGGTGCTGCATAGGTTGGGGGGGGGGGGGGGGGCAAAACCTTTTCCTACCACACCAATTTTAAGTACAGAATGCAAAGGGGGTTAGGAGTTCTTAGGCCCCATTCAGAATAGTGAACTAACTAGTCTGAGGGTCAAATATGGTGACCCACAATAAAAACTGCCATCTTATCCGCTAATAGACACTGAATAGATATCCTGTGGGGAAGTATTCAAGTGGGTCGGCCATATTTGACCCTCGGACTAGTTTGTCCCCTATTTTGAATGGGGCCTTAAGGGGATTCCTCTACTGACGACCCAACCACCTCCCCCTTTGCTTTTTTCTGAATGGTTGGCACCTGTTAACGCCCCCCCCCTCCTGTGCACATGAAAATCAGTTTTTGAACTGTATTGTAAAATAGTAATATATTACAATAACGCTTACCATTGTTGAAAATAAAAGTTGCTTTATTTGTAAATGTTACAGTGGTGTGTTTATGTTAATTTCCAATTGCTGAGTCAGGTATATAAACTCTTCTTTGAGCTTCATAAAATGGCTGCCATATTCTTCTTTAATTATTCCCATACTGTAAATCTGGTCCTGGCCAGTTTAGACTGGGTTCCCACAGATTTTGATTGATCCATCTGGTCCGATCCAACTCCCTGGGGGTTCACGCTAAATTGCTGTCAGCTTCCAGGAGCCGAGCGTGCACAAAAGTTAATTAACCCCTTACAGCTTTTAGTAGGCGGGACAGACATTTTAAGCCGGTTTAGCTGACAGCAATCTAGTGAGACTCCCCAGAGGGATAGATCGATCTAAATATCTGTGGAAATGGTCTCTAATACATCTGATCACTGCAGTCTCTTTTAAAATGAAGCAGTACAAGACGCTTCAAACATATTCCAATTTTTTCAAATGTTATAATTTAAACAGGACCTTTTTTTAGGCAAAAAATCAAATCTGATGAGACTACCAATGTTTATGTGCATCATTAGAAATGAGAGAAATATAAATTGCGTTTTGGTGCAAAAAGTTCTAACTGAACTAGACTGTTTCGGCATCTCATATGTTCTTTTCTCACCAACGCCTCTGGTGGAAAAATTTGAGGAAAATAAATAAACCACTTCTGAACCCTTAAATACCACTTCCCAAGTCGTTACAACCATTCATTAATTTAATGACAGTGTAGTTCTTTTTTTTTCAGTCAAGAAGAAGCTATCTTATCTTCAATTTCTGCTCCAAGTCTGTGTAATAATTCTTCAACTCCAATACACTACTTTCATACTCTCGATCCAGCTCAACAGACTGGGCGCTCATGTCGTCGATAAATTCAGACCATTCCGCTGCACGCATTTCCCTTCCCTGCTTCAGAGTTTCATCCTAGTAACAAATTAATAAAAACTGAAATTACTTTTAAATGTATTTTTACAGGCCACTTCTTTCTAACATGGCAGGTCTGTGGGAGGTGTGTGTGTGTGTGCATGTGCATGAATGCATGCGTGTGTGTGTATGAGAGAGAAATTCGGAGTTATTGTGTGTACAAACAAACCTGGCTTTTTTTGCCAGAGAATGTTTGTTCTGAATCTAATTTTAATTTAGTACATTTCTCAAGTTAGAGTATGTAAAGGGGTAAAGGGGTCCACTGTGTCAGGAAAAGAACCTGCCCCTTTTGTTTAGGGCTTCAGACCTATATCATAATGGTCAATTCCTTCAGATTAGTTTAAATGCTCACAGTAAATATTAGTTTATATTGTAAAAATTTCAAGAAACTTGCATTTTCCATCTTTTGCACAATCCCATCTACCCAAGTGTATAAGTTAAAAGATGTATAAGTTAAAATGAATAAACCAAAAACAAAAAGCATTTCTAGGATTTAGCATTTTCAAACAGTAACACATTTTCTGATTCATATATGAAGGAACCTCAGTTTTCAGAACTTCTGTTAAAAATCAATATTTTCAAGCATTACTAACATCACAATTCTTTGGAATGTATACTTAATTCATTCTGTTCATATTTGATATTTATTACAAAAGGATGTTTCTTACCTGAGATAAATCTGCCTCTTGGGTAGATATCTTATTGCATATTTCTATTGCCACATTCACTGTAAAAGGTAAGGATGTTTTATATGGCATACATAAAAGCAAAAAGAGAGAAAGTTATTATCTTTAACACAAACCAAAGCACCTGCCCAATCAAGAAAAAAATAGATGTCTCCCCCGAAATTAAATAAATAAAATGATTATGATGGAAATAAACTTCTGAGAGAGAGAGAGAGAGAGAGAGAGAGAGAAAGAGAGACACTTACATTTCCCAACTACGTCAGAAACATGTTTCTCCATTAACTGTATTGAAAGGGGGATCTGCGTCTGAGCTATGTCTTCCAAATTTTTAGATGCCTGACTCAGCAGTTCAGTATCTTTTTCTCCACCATGCTTCTCCTGAAAAATTTGCATGATGCATATTAAACAGTTTATAGAATGCTTAAAACCAAGTAGGTGAACTTATCAAGGCTATATTAACACTGGCTTTGTTCATACCCAAGTGAGCCACCACCCGTGTCACCTCTCAAAAATGGTGTGCACTTGACACTATCTCAACACAATATACTAGTATGGAAATGACTTATCTCCATAAACAAACCTCAAACTCTTTCACGAAGAAGTTGATCTCTGCTGACACCACTGGCTTGTGGTCGAAGAGCCTAGCATAGATCTCATGGATGTCTGAAAAGAATGTCACAGTTTCATATGTCAATATTGTATTAAGTTGGTGGTGGACTAGTTTCATAGTAGTAATATCTACATTGCCGTATGTCACCATATACACCATTTATGCCATTTACAGGGATAAGACCGTATATCATTTAGTGAAAAAGTGAAATATGGTGTGGGATCCAGGGGGCCGCCACCCTGAGCTTCAGAGCTAACTTGACACTAACCTTTTCACTGTAGCCTATCTCCATCGTGTCAAGTAACCTCTGACCACATTCGATTGCCCCAGCCCGCCAATCAAATTTAAAGCCCGCACTCAATGACTCATTGAATGATCTAGCCAATGAACGTGAACGAGTCAAAGCGCGCTTTGTTCAAATCCGGACCAATCAAAGATAAGGCNGGCCCCCCCCCCTCCAGTGCACATGAAAATCAGTTTTTGAACTGTATTGTAAAATAGTAATATATTACAATAAGGCTTACCATTGTTGAAAATAAAAGTTGTTTTATTTGTAAATGTTACAGTGGTGTGTTTATGTTAATTTCTAATTGCTGAGTCAGGTATATAAACTCTTCTTTGAGCTTCATAAAATGGCTGCCATATTCTTCTTTAATTATTCCCATACTGTAAATCTGGTCCTGGCCAGTTTAAGACTGGATTCCCACAGATTTAGATCGATCCATCTGGATTGATCTAACTCCCTGGGTGTTCATCCTAAATTGCTGCCAGCTTCCAGGAGCCAAGCGTGCTCAAAAGTTAATTACCCCCTTACAGCTTTTAGTAGGCGGGACAGACATTTAAGCCGGTTTATCTGACAGCAATCTAGTGAGACTCCCCAGGAGGATAGATCGATCTAAATATCTGTGGAAATGGTCTCTAATACATCTGATCACTGCAGTCTCCTTTAAAATGAAGCAGTACAAGACGCTACAAACATATTCCAGATTTTCAAATGTTATAAATTAAACAGGACCTTTTTTTAGGGAAAAAAAAAAAAAAAAAATCTGATGAGACTACCAATGTTTCTGTGCATCATTAGAGAAATATAAATTTGTACATTTCGGTGCAAAAAGTTCTAACTGAACTAGACTGTTTCGGCATCTCATATGTTCTTTTCTCACCAACGCCTCTTGTGGAAAAATTTGAGGAAAATGAATAAACCACTTCTGAACCCTTAAATACCACTTCCCAAGTCGTTACAACAATTCATTAATTTAATGACAGTGTAGTTCTTTTTTTTTCAGTCAAGAAGAAGCTATCTTATCTTCAATTTCTGCTCCAAGTCTGTGTAATAATTCTTCAACTCCAACACACTACTTTCATACTCTCGATCCAGCTCAACAGACTGGGCGCTCATGTCGTCGATAAACTCAGACCATTCCGCTGCCCGCATTTCCCTTCCCTGCTTCAGAGTTTCATCCTAGTAACAAATTAATAAAAACTGAAATTACTTTTAAATGTATTTTTACAGGCCACTTCTTTCTAACATGGCAGGTCTGTGGGAGGTGTGTGTGCATGTGCACGTGCATGCATGCATGCGTGTGTGTGTATGAGAGAGAAATTCGGAGTTATTGTGTGTGCAAACAAACCTGGCTTTTTTTTTGCCAGAGAATGTTTGTTCTGAATCTAATTTTAATTTAGTACATTTCTCAAGTTGGGGTATGTAAAGGGGTGAAAGGTTCCACTGTTTTAGGAAAAGAACCTGCCCCTTTTGTTTAGGGCTTCAGACCTATATCAGGCCTGTAGCCAGCAATTTCAAAAGGGGAGTTCTTTTTCTGAAAAAGTGGACCTTTTCCCATGAAAACTTCATGTACCTAGATCAAGTTTTACCCAGAGTGGACCTTTTCCCAGCAAAAGGGGCAGTTCTTTCTAACCCCCTGAACCCCCCCTGGCTACGGGCCTGTATATCATAATGGACAATTCCTTCAGATTAGTTTAAATGCTCACAGTAAATATTAGTTTATATTGTAAAAATTTCAAGAAACTTGCATTTTCCATCTTTTGCACAATCCCGTCTACCCAAGTGTATAAGTTAAAAGATGTATAAGTTAAAATGAATAAACCAAAAACAAAAAGCATTTTCTAGGATTTAGCATTTTCAAACTATAACACATTTTCTGATTCATAATACAGTATGAAGGAACCTCACTTTTCAGAACTTCTTAAATCAATATTTTCAAGCATTACTAACATAACAATGCTTTGGAATGTATACTTAATTCATTCTGTTCATATTTGCTAACTATTAAAAAAGGATGTTTCTTACCTGAGATAAATCTGCCTCTTGGGTAGATATCTTATTGCATATTTCTATAGCCACGTTCACTGTAAAATGTAAGGATTTTTTGTATGGCATATATAAAAGCAAAAAGAGAGAAAGTTATTTTCTTTCACATAAAACCAAAGCACCTGCTCCTTCACGAAAAAAATAGATGTCACCACCCAAATTAAATAAATAAAATGATGATGACGGAAATAAACTTCTGAGAGAGAGAGAGAGAGAAAGAGAGACAGACTTACATTTCCCAACTACATCAGAAACATGTTTCTCCATTAACTGTATTGAAAGGGGGATCTGCGTCTGAGCTATGTCTTCCAAATTTTTAGATGCCTGACTCAGTTGTTCAGTATCTTTTTCTCCACCATGCTTCTCCTGAAAATTTTGCATGATGCATATTAAACAGTTTATAGAATGCTTAAAACCAAGTAGATGAACTTATCAAGGCTATATTAACACTGGCTTTGTTCATACCCAAGTGAGCCACCACCCGGGTCACCGCTCAAAAATGGTGTGCACTTGACACTATCTCAACACAATATACTAGTATGGAAATGACTTATCTTCATAAACAAACCTCAAACTCTTTCACGAAGAAGTTGATCTCTGCTGACACCACTGGCTTGTGGTCGAAGAGCCTAGCATAGATCTCATGGATGTCTGAAAAGAATGTCACAGTTTCATATGTCAATATTGTATTAAGTTGGTGGTGGACTAGTTTCATAGTAGTAATATCTACATTGCCGTATGTCACCATTTACACCATTTATGCCATTTACAGGGATGAGACTGTATTTCATTTAGTGAAAAAGTGAAATATGGTGTGGGATCCAGGGGGCCGCCTAGAACAATGATATTTTGGCTCTCAAGAAGTTGGAAATCTGTCGATATTCAGAGAAATCTCATCCCTGCATATTTATCTATACCAGTTTTAACGATGCCTCAAGACTGCAACAAATGGTTTTAATTTATTTTTATTTCTTTTAACTACAGAACAGTAAATCTAAAGACTATACTGTACTGGTACTCAGTACCTATAGTGCTAAATTTGTAAGATATATAAGTGAGTCATTCTCAAAGGTAGAAAGCATTAGCTACACTGTAGACTAGTCTAACTGTAGAGTCAATTTTATTTTTAGTGGCTCTAGCTATTCTTCCTCATACAGTGTACAACATGCAATATTTAATACTGGGTAGGTCGATGATGATTGTTCGTGCAAAGCAGTCACCAAATCCTAGTATGTCGAGTTTTCTGTCTCTAGCAGTTCTACATCATGTTAGGAAACCTTTAAGAGGTGTGTTAGAATACGATTCTCTGGCTGTCATATCAACAGAGTATGCATGAAGTTGTGTACACGTACCAGTAAATGTCACTGTCAATGTCATCAAGCAATGACAAATTGACAGTCACATGCAGTCGCTTGACGCTGCGGCTCTTGTTTTATTCATGTTCTTTCTACCATAAAAATGAACAAATTCAATGTACATACCTTTAATCAACTTATCTGCTGCCATTTTCGACGAAGTTTCGCTTGAAGAAAACGCATAGAAAGNTTCTAAAAGCAATAGCCTATATTACACAGTCTAGCTTAATTGTTGAAAATAAATTGCATCAGCTGTGCAGGTGCACAGTGCCAAAGATAAACATTTCTCAAACACTTTTATTCCTCATCCTTCTAGATCCTCTATCAAAAAATAAAAAGAAACAAAAAACCCATAAATAAATAAATAAATAAATAGTCCAACTAATTTGCAGTGAATACCATAAATAATGTTTTCACACCCAAGAGCCGTAAGCCATACTTGTACTAAACCCATTTAATTACCATCCCTACCCCCACTTAGATACCCCCCCGCGTTGCAGAGATTAATACAACTCACATCTCTATAACCCCAGTCCCATAGAAACTATTGTTCAACATAGTTCAATCCAACTCTGCGGAGACTCTTGCTGAGAGCAATCAGCTCAACTGAATAACACACCTCACTTTCAGCATATTAGTATAATCATAAGCTTTTTCTGTATTCTACTTTATGCCAAGAGGCGGCTTGTTAATCTGTTAAACAGACTGCATTCCCTGCAGAGTTGGATTGATCTACATAGACTGAAGGGGTCTATGGGAACAGGACACCATACCAGCATGCCTCTGCCATTTCCAATTAACTCTGAAACTCAGGGTCTAAATACAGGGCCGTATGTCCTTTAAACCAGTTGCTTGATACAAGGCCATATATTCTCTGAGATCTCTTAGACTGATGCACTGACAATAAAATGCTTCAGAATATAATATCTGTTTAAAGATGAAAATATGTCAGTTCGTTATGTATAGGTGTTTAAACACAAACTTTATTGAACCATTACCACATCTAACTGATCTTTAACATCTTAATGTGACAGTCTACATGCAAGTAGTATTGCATTTATGACTGATGACACAAGTTGGACCAAAGTCAGGTCAAAAATGGCCTTGTGTGAGCAGACCCAGAGAGTACCAAGTCTGGAGAGAATCTGCCCCATTTCAATTAAAAAAGCATGGCCTTGAAAAACTTTGGAAATTTTAATGGTAAAAATTCCAAGTTTGAATCCGTCCCATTTTATTTGAAGAAAGCACAGTTTTGAAGCACTTCTCAACCATTATGCATCAGGACAGTTTTACTGCCGTAAATGAACCACTGTCTTTTCTCGACCGCTGCGCTTCACGCTCCATCTTTTTGCGCTGCTGTTCTTGCTGCCTATTTTCCCTCTCGATGCGACGCTTTTCCTTCAAGACAGCGTCGGCCTCCCAAGACAGGTCCTCCCCCTCCCAACCACTCTCCTCTTCTTGCCATTCATCTAGATCTGGGCTCATCTAAATAAATAAATATTTAAATAAATGAATGAATGACTAAAGAAATGATTGAATAAGTTACTTCATTCACATCTGGTTTTCATCTAGATCTGGGTTTATTTTAAAATATTAAAAAATATGGAATCTGACAAAAATAAAATAAAATAAATAAATAAAGACATTTGAATTTTTTCGTGTCCTAATATACAAATGTTTGACAAACTCAAAATCCTGGTTTCTTTTCTATAATAACAATAATATTATTACAATAAAACAAGTTTCTTACTTGTGTAGGAATAACAGAATTCATAGCAAGCCTGCTGGACATATTTCCTCCACTTGTATAACTGTAATCTTCTCTTTTCTTGACTAAAATCTGAGTTAGAAAAAAAGTTTCAGTTTTGTGATTGGCATTGCAGTTAACAAATTAATGTAAGATGCATGAAAGAAAATAATTCTCCGTCAATGTGTATCATGACTAAAATTGTTAAATAATCATAAATGATCAATCCACTTATATTACAACATTCTTCACAAAAACACTTTAAACTTTAGTAAATATTTGCATTTTCTTTTGTTTAAAATAAAATATACTTATGTCTAATGGTAATTTTGTATCAAGTTGCTTTGAAAATTTTAATATAACTTCCCCTTGACTTCCTCAATTAACTTCCTCATTAAATTTCCTCACTGAACTTCCTCAATGAACTTCCTCATTTTTACCACAAATATAGAAAGAAACTTACTTTTGCAGTTTTCTTGACCTCTGGGGCCATATCAGCAAAATAGTCCGGCTCTGGCTCTGGTTCTGGCTCAGGCTGGTTACGGTTTCCATAGTAACCTGCATGGTTACTGTTACTATAGTTACTTGTTTGGTTTTTATTTGCACTGGTGTTGGTGTTTTCTACTCCCCAGGAGTCCCAGGCCTCCATCTCCAAGTCAGCCTGGAAAAATAGAATTGAATTGAAAATGACATTATCAACAAGATTAGCAAGAGAGATTTGTTGAATAAGTATATCATTTAATGCAGAGATGCAAAAATCCTAAATAATCATGGGACTTTTATCATTTTTAGCACTCTAAATAATCATAGGACTTTTATCATTTTTTAATGTTTTTATGCTTCTGTTCATTTTTAACATTAGTCACCATTCACAAACACTTGGTAAATGACTGAAGCATGACATCTAAATACATATCCTCATTCAGAAAATGTGTACAAGTTGTACTCCGTACATGACTAAACTGATTTTTGTCTTTCACACAATCCAAGCCTAAAATTCCATCTTACACACCTTTTTTTGACGTAGATTGTGATCATATTAAAAAGTTATCGATTCAGACAGTTAAGTTGATTACATTGACTGTGCCTTAGCAAGTGCCACACTGAGATAGAGCGATCCCGCTAATACGATAACTTCTATTCTGAACGCAGCCATGGAGATGGATTGGAGGTGGAGGATGGCTCAGATATTTACCTCATTTCCTGGCACAGCATGAGTGACATCTGGTGGCGATGGATAGTGATTGGCTAGAGGCAGAAGATTCCCAGAATTTTTCCGTCGCCTAATTTTTAGAAAACATAACAGTCTCTTTCCAATGTTTATAAAGAAAAATATGAAAGCAGACAGTTTTTTCCACAGAACTGTTATTGCACTCATTCTTTCTGGTCCTCTTCTTCTTCTTCTTAGAAAAGAGCACTTTGCAAATCTGACATCATAGCATGTAACTTCTTTTAAATATAACTTTGAAAAACCTGAAAAGAGAGAAGAGAAAATGAAAAACTTGAATTACTTCTGTTTTTCCCCTACGAGTGGATGCTTTTTTGTTTGTTTGTTTGTTTGTATCAATGAGAAACAATAGATTAATCTTAAAATCATTCATGTATTAGCTCTAAAATACTGAATATCCTACTGAATATGTGTAAACAAACAGTACTAGCAGTGATACCTGTAGTTTCCTGTTTCACTTTTGTTTATGATTACATTCGCCAGTGAGCAGGCCTGTAGCCAGCAATTTAAATTGGGGGGTTCGTTTTCTGAAACAGTGGTCCCTTTACCATAAAATCTTCATGTACCTAGATCAAATTTGATCCAAAGTGGACCTTTTCCCAGCAAAAAGGGCGGTTCTTTTGAACCCCCCAGACCCCTTCTGGCTACGGGCCTGATGAGGGCACCATTATGAGCACTGCCAGGAAAACTACACGTGTCAATTTCTTTTATGCTTCAGTACCAAAATAAAAAAAAAACACCAATTAGAGATACGTGTGCCAGAATTAAGAAACTGATTATGCTGTTGTAGACTTGTGTCTAGAGAAAGAATCAAAGATTAAAAGAAATTAAATTAATTTTCGTAGAACACTTCTCATTTGTCAGACAGAATCCAATAAAAAGGCGATCAGAATATTCTGTCCTTTAAATACCACGATTTCGCTGGTTAATATTGTAAATATCGTAGTGGACAAATTTTTATCATACAATCGCCCCCGAAGGGTTTTCCATAGGACCATACATCACAAGGCGAGATCGTACGCATAGACATTGGAATTAACATTGAATTAACATGACATTTTAACAACCCTTAGTATGCAGTTCAATTATCTCAAACGTATATACTATTGGCCTACTTTTTAATGTTGCAAACATCCAATTATCGGTCATATAATAAATTAAACAAGAGTAAAACACGTCTTACCTCACTGACTTAATTTACTTTCGTCCAAGTTGTCGATAGAGGGAGACAAGGGAAAGACAAGCTTTAGGATTCTAGGAAGCTATTCTTGGATCGATGTGAAATATTTTTGAAACCTTTCTGGATATTTTATTCAAAAGAATCAAATTTATGTAGCAACAACAACAAATAAAGGAAATATTTATGCGCTGTGCAAGTTATTTAAAATCTACACAATTTGACTCATATCTCCTCTTGTAAGATCTCGTAAAATCACGCGGTCTTTGTTTGGCTTAGAAACCAAACAACTACCATATTGGATAAGGGGTATTGTTTTCGTCCAGCTAAATTTGGTGCCATTTTGCCGCAGTTTTTGTCAAGTCAGGTGTAAAACACTGGTCGTGGGACTCAATAGGTACCCAAGAGTAGATCAACGGCTTACAGGTTTTAATTATGTACAGGATTTGAAGAAAAAGTCCTTCGAAATAACGTCACATCGTTTTAGTGGATCAGTCGAACAGACAGACATGACAGTAAGTATTTTACCGTATCTTTCCTTTTTTATTTTTTAAACTGTGCAGTCAGTTGTCAGTTCAATTTTTTGGGTTTATGCTTGCTGTCTCCTGAATGATTACAAACTAGGATGATTTCAAATCTATTGACTATTATGGTTAAAACTTCTTTCTTTGTCTTTAATATTTACATAGTTTAATTCTGAAACTGAACAAATGTGATTAATCGTGCTCTAATGTAGCACATTGACTCACTCTTTTTTATTTATTTAATATTGTACTGTACTTAATGTAAAACCGTAAACAACATTTATAGAACAATTAGAAGTGCTAGAACTGGCAGAATACAGTAGAACTAAAAAGTACACTGTTGTGTGCATTCTACTTACATCATTCTAGAAAAAGCTTGCATGTGGCTTTAGTGTCATTGTGGGTCTGATTTAAATACTTACTCTCACTTTGTTCAGAGCCCCAGAGAAAAGCTGCCCTCAGTGAAGAAGAAGAGTGGAGAGGAGGATGACGGACCCTTGGCAGAACCTAAAGAAAAGTTTGTCCCTAGAAACTGGTCTACATTTAAAAAACATGAAAAGGAACTGAACAAGCTGGGCCCAATGGCCAAAAGCAGATATATGGCTGTGAGTTGATGTAGAATTTGTAGATTGATACTTATAAAAATCCTTGCACTGTTGTAAAAAAGGAAGATGTAATGTGTGCCTCCACCAGATAAAAATGTCCTCCTTTTTTTACCCTACCTGCCGTGAGTTATTGGACCTCCTAGTGATACATATCCCTCGACATGAAAATTAAAAATAAAATCTATGGTAAAAAAATGTATGCTAAAAATTGAATATTTTTTCTATTCTTAATTTAAGATGTTTTTGTTTTTGCCAACAATTAGATAAAGAAAGAAATATGTTCACTTCATTTATGAGGTTATTTTTTATAAGTTAATGCATTGTCAGTTCTTTTGATGGGGAGCTACACATGAGATAGTCTATAGTTGTTTTAGATATCATGTAAAATTTTAATCTGAAAAATACCTCTTATCTTTATGACATCATGTGTCTTATTGTGACATTGCATTCCATTATGATGTCACAGTAGGCAACCTATACCCTTTATATGACATCATACATACAATTGTGACATCTTGTCTCATTATGACATCATAGTGAACCTTTTATGACATCACACATGCTATTATGATGTCACACCAATAGCAACTAATAGTCATGATGAACTGTTGAAAATTTTGTGACATACCTTAATTTGATGTCTTGTAGAAAATTGGAAAAATGATTGAAAATTACCCTGTAAAATATTTAAACAAGTTAAAACTAAGACAATAGAATTTCAAAGTAAAATAAGTATAAATATGAATAAGTACAAAACTATTTGTTGACAAATAATATTACCAGTATCAAATGTTTTCCATGCATAATATCACATCCATTAAATTTAAAGGCTTTATATAGTGCACTTGCAATGGTTGCTTATATTCCAACAAAATTAACCAATAATATTCTTCAAAATGATATTGATAATGCAAAGAAATGTTTATTCAAAAGTTCTGATAAATCTTGGAAAAAGTGGTTTAAATTTTCAGGTAATTACTGTAAATGCAATGTGCCTATTCACACACCAGTTTAGTTGTACCAGTTGTTAAATACTGACAGCTTTTATTTCTGTTCAACAGTATAATTGTATTGAGCTGATACTGCTATAATATTAAATCTATAATAATGTATTATATAATTTCCTATTTTTCTATTATTTAGTATGAAGAGCCTTCAAAAGACATCCTTGCAGTAAGAGAAAAGACTTTGAAGCGACTCAAGGACTTGAAGAAAGATTATGAAATGTAAATATTTGTAATTTTATTCTTTCATGGTTAACTTTGTCAGTTTACTGATTTTATATGTTAAGTGAATAATGTAATGAGCCGAAATACTTCGTAAATATACACTAATGCACTATAAACCTAAAAATTTATCATTGCAGTCAGTGTTTGTGCAAAATAAAATAATAAATATAAAAATAAATCACAAAAGAGATTAGACAACTAGTGTGGCATTAGTTAGCAAATTGCATTTTTTTTCATCTTTTTAACACTTTTTCTTATTACAGGAATCATCCTCCTGTACCAGAAGAAGTTATTATTGAAAAAGACAAACATGCCAAGTTAATAGGACAATTAAAGTGAGTGCAAATGTTGATATATTTAATATTTTTTCTTGTATTGCCTTTTTGTTTTGATATGATTTAGATAAAGAAGTAAAAGTTGTTCATTTAAAAATTGAACAAGCTGAATTGAATAGGGACACTTTCAAGGTAAGAGCTAAAATTTTTCATGTCCGACTTAAAAAAAATAAATTGTTTACCAAGAAAAAAGAGGAAATAAACATTATATGGATAAACCTAATCTTTGTTGTACATAAGCTCTTATTTTTGCTATTTTTCTAGAGCTGCAGAAGCAAGAAACAGACTGAGGATAATGAGGTTAAGATATTCAGCCAACAGGGTAAGTTACCTTTAAATTTTTCTTTCCGGACAGATTTAAAACTCAGTAGACAGGAAGTATATGACATATATATACATAAATTCCAAATTTTCAATGCCAATGTACTGGTTTATGAAATCAAGCAAACATACAAGTCATCAGTTGAAACTAACTGCATAAAACAGTCATCAAGCCAATGCTACACTTCATCTCTCTGTAAATGAAAATATTACGTTTTCTATCTATACTGTCTGTGAATGAAAATGCTAGACTATCAGTCAATCTCTATAAGTATTAAATTGCAATATGCTGTTTTCAATTCTTCCAGGCCCAAGAAATCAACCACCTGATCTCATGTCAGCCTACAGCCATTAAAGCAGTGAGATTACAAGCTCTCGTTCCTTCCAGTGCAGAGAGGAAAGATAAAGGGGACAGACTAGATAAACTACAAAGACATAGGATAGAGTCACTGTTAGAAGACTCAAGGGGACTTTTGACCAACAGGCTAGCTTGAACTGACAATTACTATCAGTCAATTTTGGAAAATGTTTGTTGGAGAAGCCATGAAGGTATTTTATATACCAAGACATAGAGCGATTAAGATTGAGAGTTGAAATGCTGGAATGGCTCTTGAGACCAACAAAATTTTCTATAAAATTTTAGTGACCAAGAGATTGAGATGATGTTACTTTGGTTACCCGTGATGTCACAGTTGCAGGTATGATATCATAGGGGACATGTTGGAATACCTATTGTGATGTCATAATGAGATATGATGTCATAATAACATACATGATGTCACAGATGGAATATTTGTGGGGTTTTAACTGCCAGACAAATCAAATATTGATGCTGATGTTTTGATATGGGACTCCAGGCATGCACAGATGAACATTGTTTAAGTTTTTTTTTTCATTCAATGGAAAAATTAGAGGTGCTATTGATATTATAACAAAGAAATCTTTTCCAGTAGAGTTGATAATAAGATATCAGCTCCAGTAAATATTTGCCACAGATATCAAGATCAGTATATTTAGTGAAGGGCATGATTATAACTGAGGTGAAGATACTGTAAAAATCATTGCCTACAGATTTGTCCTTATGTAATTCAAAAATTGTTAAATGATGATATGTATTAAATAAATATGAAATATGTTTAAAAACTGGACTTGCTACAAACTTTATTTGTAAAATCTTTCAGTAAATTGGTAGCCATTTTAATAAAATTTCAAATAATTTTTTTTCTTTGGACACTGCAGGAAAACATTTCAAGCTTATTATAAAAAAAGTTAACTGCGTTACCACTTAAAAACTTTGATAAACATACCAATATCCATACAACAGTCAACTATGCAACACATTTATAAAAAATATTGGAAAACATCATGTCAAAGTAACAAGATTGAGTATACAACTGAATTATAAAACTTGTAAGGAAATGTTTTTGTGTCATTTAATATAAAAATCTGTTCCACAAGATTCAATCCAGATGGACAATATTTCAAGTTAACAGGTAACGAGTTGTTCAGAGTCAACTGTTAAATGCTAATATCGATAAACCAACCACATTTTCCTCTTATTTCCTAATTGTGTGGATGCATTTTAATGCTTTTGATATTATTAATACATGTTGGTATCAAGTATCTGTTTTCCTCTTCCTTCAGACTCTTAGTCTATCAGTCTTGAGGAATTGTTCTATTCTCTCAATCTGACTTCCTAGCTCTATGCTTTCCTCATCATCTGAGAATAGAGAACTCTCTCCAACATCAGAGTTTTCTGAAGTGCAGGAAGTCTGTAAAATTAGAAAGAAAACTTTGTAAAATCTGAACTCAAAAGCAATTTCAATCATCCTACCATAACATCCTTTTACATCAGTTAAATTTTGTACATAGCACGACGTGTGCCAGTTTTTTTTTTTAATCCCTCGTGCATGGACACTGACATTTTGTGGCAAATTGGATCGAAGTTTATCATGTCAATCCCAAACATGCACCTAGTCACATTGATTTTGTTTCCATATTTAAAATTATAACATTTGTGATAGGCACAATAATCTTGAATCAAAGGCCACATTTTGGGACCGAAAATTTTGTTCAAGTTGATTTGAGTTAGACAATGCTTACATTAAAATTCCAGCTAAAAATAAATCTGTTCTATAGATAAACAATAACATGAGTTACGTATAACAATTTACATGATGTTAACTATATATTTACCTGTCCAGAATCTCCCTGGGACACCTCACTGAATCCCAAAGCACTGGCAAACGTTACTTTCTTTGGAACTTTTCTCTTTGGCTGACTGGCATCTAGAAAAGACCAGTGAATGAAACCTCACAGTGAATAAAGCTGAAAAGATCATGAGTGTATTGCCAACCAAACACTCCATCAATCAACTGATGGGCTGATTACAATATATGAAAACAAGAAAACTTTCAAATTCAGTGTATTTTCAAACTTTTGAGTTTTGTCAAAACTTTGAAGATGAAAGCTATTCCCCATCATTTGGTCTGTACAAGTATAAAATAATTTCCGTTGCAAATTGATATAACCATAAAATTCAGTTTTGCACATGCACATTCCTGGGTCACACACACATGCACGCGTGCACACACACACACACACACACTAAAATCTTACTTTGCAATATTCCCTGCACAACAGGTTGACATCCAGGTGGACCATCATGTCCTCTGCTAACAGGGGGAGCCACTGACTGAATATATAAAGGTTAAATTTTTTAATACTTGCGATTTTCATAAAATGATAGCATGACAGTGACATTATAAATTGAATGTTATAGCTGGCAAATAAAATTATTTTATTCGTACCTGCTCTGATTGGTTTGACATCAAATTAGCAGGCAAGGGCATCATGGGTGCCATGGAAGATTCATGCGAAATAATTGGCGATCTCAACTGCATACATTGCCTCTTTGATTGAGGGCCAGGCTCTGCAAAATATAAAATTAATAAATTGAAGAAAGAATCTAAAATGTTAATCAAATTTATAGATATTTTCTTAATCAATGTGCAGCATCTAGATGTCAAATTTGCCTATGCTTAAATTGTTGCAGGTTGACCAGTTGAGTCTCCCCCCCTCTCTCAGAACATAACTTCAAATTAATTATTAACCAAAGATAAAATGTCACTCCTCTAGTTTCTTTGTAGAAATACTAGAATGAATAATATCTGAACCCAATATAAGATATTTATCAATCATTTTCTTAACAAGTGGACATTGTATTACCTCTTGCAAAAGAACTCTTTGCCTTGGATCTAACAACTGGCATATGCTTTACTCTATGAACAGTTTGATCACTATCAGTCATCACTCTGGACATCTGGTCACTTCCACTGACCTCTGGGGTGCTTTCTGTGGTTATCCCGAGTGTCTTTAGTGCCTTCATGTACCTGCTGTATGGACTCAACTCTACTTTTTCACTCTGGGCAGATTGTTCATCATCTTGACTGAGAGTTTGAGAACTATGGGGAGATGACCAACTGGCTGCACATGGGATCTGACTTGTGAAGGTTTTCTGAGAAAGAGCCAGCTTTTGAGAAAATGATAGCTGATGGATAATTGACTGCTTAGAATTATCAAGGGACTGGGAAACATGAGGCAACTCAGGAATAGATGGCGCATGTAGGCTAGGCGGTCTTTTCTGAAGAGTGTGCTCTTGTGGTGTTTCCTTGGAATAGGACTGAAGCCCTATTGGTTCATATCTAGGCACCTGAACTTCTTCAGAACAAGAGGACACCAAAGCTTGGTCTTTTTTGGATCCAGGGGTCATCTCTTCATGGCCTCCCTGTTGGTGAATAGGCATCCCCTTAGGTGTTTCTTGCTGCTGAATTGTAATCCCTTCATGAGCTCCCTGTTGCTGATCTGGCATCATCTCAGGATTTATAGCAAACTGGATATCTTCCAGGGAGCTAGGGCATGCTTTTTCTTCCTCACATATCTGAGTTTGTGGGATGCAGACAACCTCTTCTAAGGTTGGCACTGATTGGCTGCCAAGGTGGCCAATTACGTGGCTTGTTTCTGCAGGGATGGTTTCCTCATCTGTTAGATCTGGTGGATTTTCCCTGGGACTTGAAGGTTTTTCTCTCATGTCTGATGATCTTTCTTTCAGATCAGTTAGAGCTCCTCTAGAATTTTGCTTGGTTTCTTCATCAACAGTGGCCATGTGTTTTAAGTAGGATGGAACTGCAGGAACACCAATCTTTGAAGAAGATTCTGACTGGGTACAGTAAGATGCCCCTGACTTGGACATGTCATGTTCATAAATATGCGCTGACAATGCTGTTTCAGATATGCTGGCATCTTTTATTTCAGAACAGTCAGTGTTCAACAATAATCCACCAGCTTCCTCCGTCTTCTCAATATCTCTGTCTCCTTCTTTTGCATAACCATCTTTCTGGTTCTGGCAGTTCTGTTCCAAAGGCTTCTCCTTGCTTGATACTTGGCCAGAAGACTTTGGTGCAGTACTGTGGTCTGTGGACAGAGAAACTGTTGCAGAATCTCCACCAGGACCCATCTCCCTCACTCCACATATGCCAGGCTTTCCTGATAAGGCTGAAATTAAGGGTGACACTTTCAAATTATGCAGAGTGTATTGTATATTAAATGGACAATTTCATGTGTATACATAAGATCTTTTTTAATTTCAAAGCCATGAAAATGATATGTAACATGTTCTCTCCATCAAAAAATATCAACTCCACACTGTAAGGCACTGTTGTATTGTTCAGGTTTATTTGTGGCAAAAGTAAAAGGAACTATAAAGCCAATATAAGTTGATAATATTCAACATTGAGGTTAAATAAATCCTTACCATGCTATTTGGTGAAATTCTAACAAAAGAAAAATGTTAGCTTGAAATGAATCTGTAAAAACAAGAACAATGGCAAATTGGTTTGAACAATATGAATTTCAAAGTAAAAAGGTAAATGTTAATCATACATGCACTTTTCTCAAATAACAAGTTAACAAAAATATCTTAAACAAATATCAAATGGTTATCAAAAAAGAGTTAAGCATGAATAAGAACATGAAAAATTTAGTACAGAAGCATATATACTACAATAATACAAAAAGTAAACCCATTAGTAAACCCAAAGTAAACACAGCAACGTTAGCCACCATGCTGTCATTCGAGTACTTTTGGCATCTAGTAATTAACAGCAAGAATGAAAATTGAATTTCATATTGAACACTTATGTACAATTCATCTATGCCCCACAGGCTTTTTCAGGGAAATGTACTTATCATCACTTATTGTCAAAATAAGCACAATTTCCTGATAAAGTCCATGGGCTATAGGCAAACATCTGAGCTCATACCATCTGTATGTGAGTGCCCATGCAGTATGTGATTCAACTGAAATAAGTACAATTAACACTTACAACTACACACAGGTGTTTTAGCAATGGAATACAACTCTTCTCCAACCATCTGGCAGTACACAGCTCTGGTGTCCACTCCACTTGGGTCATCTTCTGTCTGTGTGTCCACTGTGTGATGACCTATGACCTCAGTTTGGACATCCACTGCACTCTGCTCCTTGGGGTCAGTTTGCTGGTCTTGATCATTCTTTGGTTTATTCAGGACTTCCTGAAATTTAATTTATGACAGCAGAAAGATAGGCAATATAGAAATGATATGGTTATGTACATAAGGAAATCTGTATGTATGCTTGTGTGCAAGTACTTGCATGTGTGATAATCTTGTGCAAAACAGAAGAATTATATATACTTTATACATGGATTAAAACAGATTAAAAAAGTAGCAGAAACATCTCATAAATACAAACATGCCATTGATAAATGAACCTCCAATCTCTACAACTCCTCAGTAAGGAAAAGGCAGAAGAAATGCAAGTATATATGTGGATTTAACCAATTAAAAAAAAAGAGAAAAAAAGTAAAAACAAAAACAATCACTGGTACCTTCAGTCTCTCCACTTCCTCAGTCAGGTCCACATTCCTCCCCGCCCACATGGTGTTCAGTTCCTCCAGACTACCATGTGCCTTACTCAGGACCTCATAGTCCTTCTGGAGACCACTCAGACGCTCCTGCAGGGAGGTCTCCTGTAAAATGTGGATGTATTAGTCTGATAGTTTCTCAGAAGTTTGATCAATAAAGATAAATTTTGTTTTCCTATATCATGTTTTTTTCTTAAAATTTACTGAATTACATACTTGTCACTATGTTAACATATAATTCTATGGGTACTGTGTGTAAAGAGAAAAATGTGTGACAAATGTGACAAGACTCACCAACAGGTACCTAATCACTAATATTCTTTCAGTTTGGGAGTTCACCCTCCTCGTATATCAACCAACTCAATTAATAAACAAATTCAACTCCATCAAACAAGCAAAGCTTTTCAAAAATCCAACCAAAAGTCAAAAGCAAATCCACCTCTTTTTTCCACGCCTCTGTCTCCTCCTGATGTAGCGCTTCCTGTTCCTTCATCTGCCCGGCCTTTGCCTCACTGTCTGCCTTCAGCTGGTCATTCTGTGTCCTCAGGGCCTCCAGGTCAGCCTGGGCGGTGGTCAGCTGGGAGGACAGGCTAGTGTTGGACTGGATGTGCCTGTCCACTAGGAGGTGGGCCTCCTTCAGGGAGGAGGTCAAGGTCTGGAGGATGGGGTAATATTTTAAATTTTTAAAAAAATTATAAAAATAAATATTAAAATATTTAATATAATGTCAGATGTCAGATGATGAATAATTTTTTCAAACTATAAAAAGATTTTTAACTAGTTATATATTTCTAAAATTTTAATTGTTAAATATAGGGTTTACTACTACTACTTATAATAATAATAATGGTAGTAATAATAATAAGTTAATAAATTGACAAACATTTTTATATAAAATGAAAATAATTATTACAATTTATAAAAACGTTTTGCTTGTATACTCCTGATTTCTATAAGAGAAGCAGTCAGTTACTTTCCAATGCAGATATATGACAAAGCTTACATTTTTCTCAGTCACTGTCTCTGCCAGCTGCTCTCTCAAGCCTTTTACCATGTCTTCTTGCTGAAAATGTCACATTAGACAAAGATGGGCATTTTGAACCATAAACGCTGAGCCAGAAGACCCCAAAAAATTTTCATCATTTAACAGTCGCTCCAGACTGATTAATAGTTTACTGATTATATTCTTTTGTTACCCACTTACTAGTGTACTTCTAACACATCATGGAGCTTGCTAGCTACTTTACATTTCCTTTCTTTCATTGCACAGGCAGTTTTAATTATTTTCTCATATAATAAAGAATTATAGTGCATAGATGCATGAGCCCTACCTCAAAACCTGAGAAGATTTAAGAAGAAATTCTATAGCATATATTTAGTTTGTGTGTCTGCAAATGTGCATTTGACTGTGAATGCGTATACATACACGGATGCATGCAACAGCTTACAATAATCAACTCACAGATTTCAACTCCTTCTCAAGGCTATCTACACTGTGTTGCAATCTGCTGATCTTCTCTACCACATCCTGTGGCTGGGAGGACAGACTGGCCTTGGTCTCCACCAGTTCTTGGCGCAGTCCATCGATGACTGCCTCCTTACTGCCTAGTTCCTCTCTGAGATTGGTGTTTGTTTCTGACAGCTGGCGGTTGATTTTTATACCTTCTTTAACTGAAAAATATAAAAGAATTGATTATTTGGAAATTTTGATGGCAGATTGCAGGCCCGTAGCCAGGGGGGGTTCGGGGGGTTCGAAAGAACCGCCCCTTTTGCTGGGAAAAGGTCCACTCTGGGTAAAATTTGATCTAGGTACATGAAGTTTTTATGGGAAAAGGTCCACTTTTTCAGAAAAAGAACCCCCCTTTTGAAACTGCTGGCTACGGGCCTGGATTGATCTAGTTTAACCCTGAGACTGTTATTTGCTTTTGATTACTGGCTGCTTTTCTTTTTACTTTTTTGACTAAAATATTAGCTTGTATGATATTTTTTTATATAAAGTGATTAGTTTATTTTCTTGTTTTTCAATAGTATCAGGATAATCTTGTCAACACTGATCAATGATGGTCTATAGTTTGGGGAAATCACACCTTATTTTTCCAAAAAAAAAATTTTCCTATGCCCCCCCCCCCCCCACTCTCAATTCTTTTTCTAAATAAGAAAATAAGGGACATAAAAATCCATCTGAACAATAGTTCTATATCAAGACTTATTTTCAGACTCCAACAATTCACAAAGAAGGTTGGCGAGGGCAAATAAGAAAAGGATTTACATCAAGCAGCAGAAAATTAATCCCTTCAGGGTATTACATGGCAGAAAATTGTCTGATCAGTAAGATTTTCTTATTGTCAAAGGGATGTTATTTCAGTAGATCAATTCTCAAATTACAATTTATAAAACCTCCGAGTCATTCAGAAGTAGGAAATCCTTTGTACCGATGGGGTGAGTTTACCTTCTTGTTTGTTGTTTCCACAGCAACTTAACATACACAAAATAGTTTACTTTACAACTAGCGATTCAACACTTTTAAGACCGTGCTACTTGCTATAAAAACAACTGAGAATCATAATTTTAAAATAAAACATTTTCAAAGCAGTTTTTTTTTTCTTAACTGACAAAAAATACAAAACCAAAAGAAACACACACAAAGCTGCTAAAAAATCAGCTTTTTTTCTGTCACACCTTACATACACATCCAATTCACCTTTATTTATGCAAAGGATTAGAGGCTGGGTTAGCTTTAAAATACATTATAATCAATACACTCAATCTTCTCATGCATCAAACAGTTTTGACTCACAACACAGGTGTGCTGGATTATACAGGACCTGATGCCATAACTAAAGGTACATAGTCTGAATTTAAAGAGAAAAAATTTTGTTGTAATTTTTTTTGAGGATAAAGCAGCAGCAGCAGTCCAATTACTAAAAATAATTGTTTGGTATCTTTCACAGTAAGTGTGAAATTAAAATGTGTATTAGTACACTCTGTCTCTTACTATTTAAATTGTATTAATTTTCATCAGCTTTGCTGCTATAAATGTCAAGAAAAAAACAAATCACTTACAGCACAGAATATGTATTTTCGTGGACCACCATAGGGTTATCATGCTATAAAATGGACCAAAATCATTAGACTTAAATTATTTAAGAGAAAAAAATTCAGTCATAAAGTTAAAACCCAGTGTCAACTGAAGTTCTTTTGTGGTACCAATCCTAGGCTGCATTCACAACAAAAGTTGATCCCGAGGACTAACAGATCCCTGGATCAATTATGGCCTCATCTCACACGCCTCCCCATGTGTCGTCCCAATGGAGCCGAGATTTAATGACTGTCCCCCCGCAGGGACGACGTGTGGGGAGGCGTGTGAGAGGCGGAGAGACTATTAAAAGATTTGGCAGTTTCTCTTTCATGTACGTCCGCCATATTTAGTCCCCAGGATTTGTAAAGCCTGGCTCAACTCGTTGTGAATGCGATCTAAAAGATCATTAGTCAGACAGGGTTAGTCTGGGTCAAGAGCATGACACTGTCAATGAAAGCTAATATAATATTGATACTGACTGATATCAAGCTGTAAACTGTACATCTTGAACTAAAAGGGGCCTAAGAAAGCATATGGATATATATATATAACAGTGATATCAGTCTGAGACAACAACAGAGATAATATGCCACCGATATCCACATGATATAGAGGGGTCTCACATCAGGATATCAGATTTCAGCCAAATGTTAAACAAATTGTCATGCTTTTATTTTGGCAAAGAAGAAGTTATAGTCATTCTACATGTACTGATTCTCATCATGACATTTATCATTGATGGCTTCAAATTTTTTTATCTGGATATATGAAGTTTAATCTAGACTTACCACAGATGGAGATTGATTAGATGCACATTATTTGTGAAGCAACAGGTAAAGCTCAAGGAAGAATATGCAGGTAAATGTAAAGATAAAAATGTTTAAAGCCCTGATATATTCACTGGATTAGCTGGCTTAAAAAATCGTGTCTGTTCTCATGGGTCGTTTTAGTAGCACTCCTCAGAGAAAATCCATCATTCAATTATATAAGCAGTTTTCAGTGTAAAGGTCACAGATAGGCATCAATACCCTGGAGTTTAGAATATCATTTACTCTCTTTAGAAATCTGGGTTTGTTATCAAGTGTAAATAAAGGTAGCAATGCAGAGATTTTAAATGAAGGAGGCCATTTATAATCTACAGTGAAGCCATTATTTATATATATATTGACAGAGCCTTTCAAATATCTAAGGCCTAACATAGTAAAGTACTTTTATCAATTCAATGAGGAAGTTAGGCAGAAATCTAAAAGATTTAATTTATAGACAATGTAGAATTATTCCTTTCACTCTTGTATGAAAATATTTTTTCAAAAACAAATTTTTAAAAGAAATTTAAGGATTTCACCATGGGTTTTGTTAATGGTTGTAGTGTTCACAAATATAATTCCCGGACATGTAAATTAATTTGATTAGAGTCGATTGCTTGTGCACTCGACTCGTTTTATGGCCTTACCTGTAGTTATGTAACTTAAGTGGACGTGTGCAATTTGAATAATTAAAATTAGTATGTACCGCCAAATACTGCAGCACAGAATCCACCTATAGATAAGAAATACGTATAAAAGACGTCTAGAATTAAGATCGTGAGAGCAGACTGAAGAATACTCGAAGGAGACCGCTCGACGGAGCTATGGGAGACGGCCTAGAGCTTGGAGGCTCCCACGCTTGAATTAAGCGTTCTAAATTATATAAGTTTAGGACATTCATCTCATATGTATATGTAAAGGTACATAACATGGTGAGTGCTAAAATATATGAATCAAACTAATGCTGAAGATTATACCGATTTCTGGTAAGTCACAAAATAGACATATATGATGTGCCGTTATACTAAGTGAAAAATACATATTCCTTTTTTTATGTTGGGTGTTTAAGGTGACCAAATCCAAATTTAAATATGACTCATTAACTTAATTTAAGCAGTGCTTATTAAAATCCAAGCATTAATTAACAATCAATTGACCTTTACAACTAAAACCTTTAAAACTTCTCACAACCCAAATGTTATTCTTAATTACTCTTTTAAAATGCAAAAAATTAAAACCAAAAATGTCAATGCTGTATAATTATTTTTGACACTTTATTCAAATGGTTTTATTATTTCATGCCAAGTACTGTGGGCAAAAAAGAGTTCTCTTTGCCAAACTATTCTCTCCCCTCTACCTAATCTATACCTCCTTAGATTTCAAATCTAAATGCAGATTTAACATTAAAGATTCTATAAGCCTGATAAAATCAAATTACTATGGCCAAAACCAAGTTGAACTTAATTGTCACACAACTTTCCTCAGTCCTTCCAAGTTTTTTTTCATTTCTCACTGGATACGGAATTAATTGCAAAATTCAGCAAAAAGATTGAACTTCTGATATCTTGGCTCCCAGGGAAAATTGGAGTTTTCAAATCATTGAACTGTCAAAGTGACCAACTTCAAGCAAAAGTCAACCCCCCCAGGGGTCTCTTAATGCAAACACAACTAAACAGTGCATGAAATGACCCAATGACACACAAAACAGTATAGAAAAACAACATTCAACTTTACTTTTCTCAAAATAAATAAAATGAGCAAATAAGTATAAAAAGTTCAACACAATAGAAAACAAAGAGCACAATATTGGCTTAGCCGAGAATGAGAGCTGACAGACGGACCAACTTTCCCATGGTACTCGCGGTGACATAACAAGACAATACCCTTCCAGACGAGAGCCATTGCCAGTCATAACCTTCACCAAACCGAATCAATTAAATCTTGCAGCAATTAACATGTATTGTTTACATTTCAAGCGCATTTAAGTCTTCATAGTAACACAGAAGTGGGATTAAGCTAAATGCGAACCCCCTCCCCCTTTACTGACCCTCCTCCTTTACAATTACAGATCTTTATTCAACTCAGTGTGTTAATTTCAATAGAAGCGTCCAGGTAAGAAATCTCCATAGCTCACACAACAATGCATATCCACACAGGGCCCTTGTATTGATAAAACACAGGGCCCCAACCATGGATAAACATCTGCACCACATGAATTACCAATATGAGGGTTCCTACTGTAAATAAACAAGCCCTGACACTGTTTAAATGACACTTTTACAGTTAATTCGACACCTGTTACATTAACAATTGAAATTAGTTTAGGAGTACTAAATCAGGCGGAAGGCGTTGTTGATATGTATCAAGAGGTAACTAACCAGGGAGAACGCTGCGTGTTGTACTCAGCGGTGCTGCAGCACACGTTCTAAAAACTCAGGTGAGAATTAGACTCAGTGAAGCTGTTGTCAATTATATAACACCTGTAATTATAAATAGAGGGATTAACTACAGCAAATTGACAACTGACTTTGAATGTGATTGAACAGGTGCATAAAAGAACAGGACATCTCGTCTTTAAAAGGTCTATTATCCTGGATAGGAGTCAACATACATCCCACACAGAAAACCCAGGTGAGAAATATGATGCCAACTTTTAAGCATTAAAATTCTTCGAACTTTTTCACACATTAAACGTAAGCCTTTTGTAAATAACATGAAAAATAACAAAATTAAGGACCTTGATTACCGTAATGTCAGCATCTCTGATTGATGCTCAGGGTTTAAGCTGCTACAAGTACAGATCAACCACTTTTATGTTGATATTGACAGTTGACTTTTAAGCCATAGGTCCACAATGGTTTCCAACTGAGGCCTGCTTCACAAAAAGTTCTTTAGGCTAATCTAACAGACTTAAAATCCGATAGCCTACTATAGAAAGCTAACTTAAATTTGTGATACTGGGTCTAAAGTGGAGCATATACATGTATGTGTAATGGCATGATAGTAATGGCAGAATTACCAGACAGTGAGTGTACTTCCAAGACAGGTACAAACAAGATGACACTGCACACAGAAAACTGAAGCTCAACCGAGATTAATACTAAAATTTGTACGACTTAAATGAAAAATATTATGAGGTGTCTCCTCATTTTGATCACATGACATATAATCTGCAAGGTTTCTTACTAATAATTGTTAAGTTAGGCGATGTTCATAAATTCATAGGTGAAAGTTGTAAAAACTCAAATCCGGAAACGTAGCTTGCAATTTTTCATTGCATTTAGACCATAAGAAAGAACGATGTAAATTCAAGTTACACCAAAGAAAAGAAATTGCTCTCTACAACTTGATGATGAAAATGATAATTTGAGTTATAATGTGACAAGTTCAACAGAGACCAAAGTCAATATAGACATTGTAAGGTTTAAATTCATGACAAGAGAAAAAATTGGTGATCATTATGATCAGGAACAGATGTTAGATTTCATAGATTTTGATACTGAAATGCCATTGACACACAAGTTATTTAATAAATAAATAAATAAATAAATAAATAAATAAATAAATAAATAAATAAATAAATAAATAAATTTGAGAGTGTTCTCAGGGAGGTTCAACAAGCCTGAGCACACTCTCCTCTCCCCTGACATTAGGACACACAAAAACCTGAACAGTGACAACAAATCTTTTAATCTACCACTATGTACCCACCTGGTTACCACACATTACAAATACAGATCAAAAAATTTGTACCTTTGGCAGGAAAGACGAGGCACAATGAGACTGGGTTCCCATCCCTATATCGATCTAACAGGATCGGTCCACCTCCATGGAGTCTCTCGCTAAATTGCTTTCAGCTCAAGTGGCTTAGATGTCTGGGACAGCTACTAAAGCTGCTAAACAATAGTTAATTACCCCCTGTCGGCTTCAGTAGGCGTGACAGACATCGAAGCCGCCCAACTTAATTGGAATTATGAGAATCCCCTTGGAGATAGTTCGATCCAAAGTTAGTACGATAGGGTCTGGGAATAGTCTCTAAGTTTTGATAGCCCTGTCACAGTCAACAAAAAGCCAGGATAAAGATTAAACTATAGAAGATTTAACGCCTTAAGTAAAAATAAATGGTTTAACACCAAGTATGAGGATTAAAATACAGTGACTTTATTGGCTTATGTAAAAATATATGGCACTTCGTTCACTTATCGTGTCTGGATAATCGCGTGTGCATATTTGACTTTCTGACTGAGTGTGTGGTTCTTAGCCTCAATTTCTGATTGTGTCCCAAAGCAGCTTTCCTATCACTTTACAACTGTCAGTTAGGATTACAGTTCTATTGCCTTTCATTTTGATTTTTTTCTTAAACTTGAGCTAAAGAAGAGTTAAATTTTAGTCTGAAAGTAAGGACCAAATTTCAGACTCTAATGACTTTTTCAACTTAAAGTTCTAAATTTCTGAATGCCCCCTCCCCCTCAATCCCCAAAACACACATATGATTATCTTTTTCTGGTGGTTAGGTAGCATATATACAGGAATATAATAATCAAATTGAAAACAAAGACACTAGCAGGAGAGCTATGTTTTCCATTGTGATGTAATGTGGACACATAAACAACAGGTGACTTATCCATAATTCATGGACTAATCTCAGAAAATCAATGTTTTATGCAATGAAGTCTAAAGTGTGTGATTGAAAACAAACAAATAGTACAATTGTTCTGATTGAACAGTTTTTAAGTAAACGTTGACTTCTCTAGCATATATTTGAACTATTATTATATCTTGATTCGATAAAAGTTGAACTCATAATAAAATATATTGAATATACTTTGCATGTGGTATTTGCACTGTTTTCACACCAAATGCAAGTAAAATTGGAGCAGGGCCAGTTAAAATTTAATTGGAGAAGAGCCAGTAAATTTTTAAAAATATATTCTGCTTTAATTGGGACAGTCCTTGGACCCTGGTGCCTTGAAGAGCCAATAGGCTTTAGTAAAAAGTTTATTATTATTATTTATTATTAATATCATTATCATTATTATTATTTTGCACAAG